TCTGATATTTGAGGGCAGATGAAAGCTCAGGATAACAATGCATAAAGACTAATTAAAGCCAAATATTAAACATTCATTATTCAGTCATTAAGACCAGACCTGAGCTCTGGTTGCTTACATACCCACACCCACAAAACCACACTCATAGGTATACACAAAGACATGTTTATTCAACAGTACATTAAATAAATAATCATGCACAAACACATGTGCTAGCCCATATGTGGACAAAGCTAGAAAGCTACTGTGCATTGCAGTTAGGAAACAGGTGTTGGTGACCCTGGTGTTATCTATTTATGTAGTTGATTAGAAGCTGAGATAATCAGGGTTACCCTAATTCTCATAGAACTAGAGCATGCCATAAAGTTTACAGATGACAACAGAGTGGGTTTTGGGATATATGTATCAAAGGTAACAGATTCTCAAAAGGATGAAATAGAATACGCAGCCATGTGGAATCCAGAAGGGAATGAGATAAATCAGGTACAGTTGTAGTATACCTGGCTCTGTGTAGATACAGCAAGAAAAGATCTAAGGATTATGGGGTATTGCAGTGATGCCCAGAAAACACTGTGATTGGGAAGAAACCATGAGAGCCCACCAGAAATGAGCAACAACATTCTTTTTTATTGATTTCAAGCATGAGGTCTCTCTAGAGTCCCAGGCTTACTCCCACATTCCATAAAGTAAGAGTGATGTAGACCAGGAAGAATAAAGAGATGTTAATAGGGTCTGGGAAAACAACTTCTAAGGAGAGCTGACTGAATTCAGCCAACTCCATGAGCTGCTGATAGTTAAAGTTGCCAGACGTGCATTAGACTGACCAAATTTTAGTGGACCTTGGGTTGTGACATTTATCTGGGTCATCTTCATTTATAACCTGAAGAATGAATTTTGAGGCATTCATATCTCCCCTAAACTTTTTTGTTTTTGAGACAGAGTCTCACTTTGTTGCCCAGGCTAAAGTGAGTGCCGTGGCATCAGCCTAGCTCACAGCAACCTCAATCTCCTGGGTTCAAGCAATCCTACTGCTTCAGCCTCCTAAGTAGCTGGAACTACAGGCATGTTCCACCATGCCCAGCTAATTTTTTGTATATATATTTTTAGTTGGTCAATTAATTTCTTTCTATTTGTAGTAGAGATGAGGTCTTGCTCAGGCTGGTTTCGAACTCCTGACCTTGAGCAATCTGCCCGCCTCGGCCTCCCAGAGTGCTAGGATTACAGGCGTGAGCCACCATGCGGGTCCTCTTCTAAAGTTGTAAACAAAACTCTATTGCTGGCCGGGCGCTGTGGCTCACGCCTGTAATCCTAGCTCTTGGGAGGCCGAGGCGGGCGGATTGCTCAAGGTCAGGAGTTCGAAACCAGCCTGAGCAAGAGCCAGACCCGGTCTCTACTGTAAATAGAAAGAAATTAATTGGCCAACTAATATATATAGGAAAATGAGCCAGGCATGGTGGCGCATGCCTGTAGTCCCAGCTACTTGGGAGGCTGAGGCAGAAGGATTGCTTGAGCCCAGGAGTTTGAGGTTGCTGTGAGCTAGGCTGACGCCATGGCACTCACTCTAGCCTGGGCAACAAAGTGAGACTCTGTCTCAAAAAAAAACCCCAAAAAACTCTATTGCTATGTGTATTTTTATAAAAAGAAGGCTGTTATAGTTTGGATTTTCCCCCAAACAGACCCTGAAACAAAGATTTGGATGCAAGTAGTTTATTTGGGAGGTAATCCCAGAAATCCAAGCACTATAAGGGAGTGAAAACAAAGTCAATAAAGGGTTCTTTGGGTAACTGGGGCAGAATCTCACTGGGGAATCTCAGGGAATACTACTACTCAAAAATGTGGTTCATGCATTGGCAGAATCAGTAAATCCTAGGAGCTTAGTTAGAAATGTAAGGATGGGTATGGTGGCTCACTCTTGTAATGCACTTTGGGAGGCCAAAGTGGGAGGATCGCTTGAGGTCAGGAGTTTGAGAGCAGCCTGAGCAACATTGTGAGACTGCTGGACATGGTGGCTTGGGAGGCTGAATGAGGTAGGAAGACGGCTTGAGCCCAGGAGTTTGAGGTTGCAGTGATCTATGACAACACCACTGCATTCATGCCCCGTTTCAAAAAAAAAAAAAACCAAAACCAAAAAAACAGAAAAAGAAATGCAAACTCTTGGGCCCAGGACTATGTATATTATGAATCTCTCTAGGTGATTCTCATATGCTAGAAAATTTTGAAAACCACTATAGTAGAACATACCTCAGAATTGCTCCACTAAGGTATGAGGAACTGGAGTATTTAGCTACTAAATCTCATCTCTCATTGGTTGTGGATTGTTCCCGTTAAAGTTAACTCGGCTGGCCCTTTCAAACAAAGAGATAATCAGGTATGAGGTAGGAAGCTCTGGGCCTGTACAGAATCTGTCTACCAAAGTTGTAGTGATCTTTGGGTGGGGTAAGAGGATATGGGTAGGGCACAGATAAGATCTGGATAAGGGTTCTTTTTTTTCTACTTTTTAATCTGATGAGCTTACGGACTAGACATGGATAAGGGTTCTTATCCTTCATCAGATTCTCAGGTTTGTAAGTCTGTGAGCCCTTCAAAAGGTTAAGGACTATATTCATGGCTAGGTATGGTGGCTCATACCTGTAATCCTAGCACTCTGGGAAGCTGAGGTGGGAGGATCACTTGAGGTCAGAAGTTCAAGACCAGCCTGAGTGAGAAGGAGACCCAGTCTCTACCGCCCGTGGTGGTGCATGCCTGTAGTACCATAGTCCCATCTATTGGGGGGGCCTAGGCAGGAGGATGGCTTGAGCACAGGAGTTTGAGGTTGCAGTGAGCTATGATGATGCTACTGTACTCTAGCCAGGGCAAAAGAGAAACTGTCAAAAAAAAAAAAAAAACATAAAAAGGACTTGCATTTCTTAGAATGCATCCCTGTTCAAAAAAAATTTTAAATATAAATAAAAAAAGGACTATATTCCTTTAACAAATGTTTATTGCGTGCCTACTGTATACCAGGTACTGTCAGGCGAAACAGGTACAAAAAGTAACTTTCATGTGAAAAAAAATTTTCAGTTAACCATAAAATGATAATTAAATGCCTTTTCTTAAAGTTGGAGAAAAACGTTCACAGTCTGCTAGTCAATAGCTCTGAAAACCCAGAAACTTAATTTCTTCAGGCTCAGAACAAAAAATCATGATGCAAGCTTATTTATTTATGGGGATCCCAGGTTGGTTGTAAAATTATCTCCTGAGTAGAAAAGTCTACTTAGAAGTCAAATTATGATCATAAGTTGCAATGTGGCTTAATGCATTCAACTGTACCCTTGTACAGAATCCAGCCAGAAAGCTAATTCTCAAGCTTTGACATCCCCTTGCCCAGGTACTATTCTTCTGTTAAAATATTCTTTCTTCAAAAATGTTCCATACATTTGAATACCATGGATCACAGAGGCCATACATTGGTAGCAAGCAGAGTTAACTGTTTATCCTGCTGATAGACATTTTCTGTTTGCCATCACTGTGTTTTAAAACTCAAGAGAGGTAGCCCTTTTAGACAGGAACTTGTAGTCTCAGGGTGTCCTAGTCTCCCCTACTACCTACTGTTTTGCTCCAGGACATCTTTCATTGTTACTTGCCTAGCCTCTATAGCCATGTGAGTTAGCAACTTCAAGGGTTTCTTTTACATGATCCACACACCCATGATACCACTCCCCACCCCACACAGATTGCTCAATCATTACTCTAGAGTCCAGGTCAATGCTGTTCAAAACTGTAGTCACTAGCCACATGTGGCTCATGAGCTCTCAAAATGTGCCTACTGTGAACTGATATGAGCCCTAAGTATAAACACCAAATTTTGAAAACTTAGTACTAAAAATATGTAAAATATCTCATTAATAACATTGTTTATATGTTGAAATGGTATTTTGAATATGTTGGGTTAAATAAAATGCATTACTAAAATTGATTTTTTTTTTTTTTGAGACAGGGTTTTGCTTTGTCTCCCAGGCTGGAGTGCAGTGGCACAATCAGCTCACTGTAATCTTGAACTCCTGGGCTAAAGCGATCCTCCTCCGTAGGCCTCCCAAAATGCTGGGATTACAGTCCTGAGCCACAGCACCTGGCCCTAAAATTAATTTCATGTTTAAAAATGTGGCTACCAAAAATTTTAGATTGCATAATGTTGCTTGCAATGTATTTCAACTGGACATCACTGGTCTAGACTTATGCACCTTATGAGAGCGATTTAGGACCTTTAAGAGTTGAAAACGTATTCTCCATTATTTCTATTCCTTTGTTTTAGTTTCACTCTTCCTTGTTGATCAGCGTTCTTTTTTTTTTTTTTTGAGACAGAGTCTTGCTTTGTTGCCCAGGCTAGAGTGAGTGCCATGGCGTCAGTCTAGCTCACAGCAACCTCAAACTCCTGGGCTCAAGCAATCCTCCTGCCTCAGCCTCCACAGTAGCTGGGACTACAGGCATGCGCCACCATGTCCGGCTAATTTTTTCTCTATATATTAGTTGGCCAATTAATTTCTTTTTATTTATAGTAGAGACGGGTCTCGCTCTTGCTCAGGCTGGTTTCGAACTCCTGACCTTGAGCAATCCACCCGCCTCCGCCTCCCAGAGTGATAAATGTTCTTTAAAACCACTTTCTGGGCCTGGTGCAATGGCTCACCCCTGTAATCCTAGCACTCTGGGAGGCTGAGGTGGGTGGATCGTTTGAGCTCGGGAGTTCAAGACTAGCCTGAGCAAGAGCCAGACACCCCCCCCCATCTCTACTAAAAATAGAAATTAATTGGCCAACTAAAAGTATATAGAAAAATTAGCCGGGTATGGGGGCACATGCCTGTAGTCCCAGCTACTCGGGAGGCTAAGGCAGCAGGATTGCTTGAGCCCAGGAGTTTGAGGTTGCTGTGAGCTAGGCTGACGCCATGGCACTCACTCTAGTCTGGGCAACAAAGCAAGACTGTCTCAAAACAAAACAAAAACTACAAACAAACCAAAAACTCCCTTGCTCTTCATTTAGTCTGCATTTACAGTTGTCTGTGAGCAAAAGGAGAAAGCCCTACAATTAAATGTTGAAAAAGGCACCTGGTAAGGGTGCATCCACAGGCAGCAAGCAACAAGTGCAAGGTTCAAATCACACACCAAAGCCGTCCCCTTCCGCATCCAAGACGAAACACCTGTGCTTACGTTCAAAAAAATTTTTTTTGTAACTTATTTCCTTTTTTGGTCTAGAGAACTGATGGGGCGGGGCACCCGCGAATAAACATTTCTGTTATGCCAAATACCATTTACAAACCAGGAATGGGTTGGAAGAACGGATGAAAACTTGAACGAAGGAATGAGAAGATGGGAAAGGTCAATTTCTAGCTTGCCTTCTCCATCTCCAACTACTCTGCCTGTATATGGAAAATGCTGGAGAGACGACCTCCAGCTAAAGGCGACACTATGAGTTTGAGGCAGTTGGGAAAAGGCCATATCCCTAAAGTTATTCTAGTGTAAGGTCAGCCATAATAACTTTCCCCAGCTCCGATGGACCGTCCGGCCTGCAGTAGTATTGCGACTCTTAGCCTGCTCAAGCTTCATCTTAGCCCGCGCCCCACCTCCAAACCTTTCCGGACTATCCCCAAAACGCCTTGCGGCCGCCATTTTAAACACTACTATCGCGAGATATACTTAGCAGCCTGCAGCCTGACTCATTTACTTTCTTGCGAGAGTCTCTTTTCGGCTGTTCTCGCCATAGTTGAGGAAAGTGTCGCGAGAGCTGGTTGCCTTGGCTCCCCGTAGCTATAGCAGCCGCGGCGGTTAAGTATGCGGCGGCGGGAGCAGTGAGTGCGACACCCTCAGGGGGGCGGGGCCGGAGGTAATGGGGTGCGGGAGGGTAGTGCCTGGGGAGGGGGGCGTGTGGGGAGGGTTGGGTCGCGGGAGGAATCGACCTGAGTGTGACGTGTGGGGAAGGACCCAGGTCCTGTGGCTACAGGGACGGGGCGCCAGTCTGCGCTGGGGCACGCGGCGAGGGCTAGAGCTGCTGGGAGGTCCAGGGGGAGGGACCCGGGTGTAGTGAGGTTGAAGGGGCACGGGCCCGAGCTTGGAGGGTGTGTATATTGGGAGCAAGTTGTTTATTTACCCTGACTCGGAACTGGATAAGGGACCGGGCTACATCGGGGAAGAAGTGGGAAGAAATGGGGTACAGCGAGGAGGAGGGTATGTTGCATGGGAGCACAGAGGTTGGGCCCAGTTTGCTTTTCACTGGCTAGGAAGGTGGGGAGAGAAGGGATCAGACCTTTGCAGCTCTCCGGCTCCGCCAGAGGCTGATCGGGTACAGCGCGCCAGGACCTGGGTCCTAAATGGCATGGCGGGAATGGTGGCGTCCCAGACCTTCACTGCCTCCCTTCCCTCTTTCCAGAGAAATTCCAGACGGGCACTCTGAAAGGGGAAAACAGAGTTCTGGTGAACTAGTATTAGTTGGGAAGGTTCTTTTGGCGGAGACTAAATGGGGCAATGAATGATTGCTATTCTAAAATAAAGCGTAGTGTGGGGGGGCGGAAGAGAGATTCTTGAGAAGAAAAACTGAGGTTGTTTCCTCTGTAGTGTGTTGAATTGGAAGAAGTGGGTGTGTGCTAAGATAACGTTTCTTACCAGATTCATTCAAGTGTACAATTCCTTTACGGTGTACTTATGAAATATATGCAGTGTAAAATCAGTTTAGATGATACAGCGAAGAAATGTGCAGGACGACATTTAAACCTTCCGCAAATATAACTTTAAAACTAAGTGTTTGTATTGCAGCAACAGGCTGAACACTAAATCTAGGGATAGTTTTAGTTACTTGGATGTAAAACCTAGTGTTCCTAAAGTGTGCCTATTCAGGATATTTGCTTTTTAAAGAAATGGATGAGGTTTTATTTTGGGAGATGGAACATGTTTTGAATATCTTGTCAATGTGGAAATAGTTGTATCCCAGAAGCTAAAATCACTGACAGGGAAACATTTAGTCTCTGAGTATTAAGGACTGTTTGCTGGAGACAAATTTGGACCACTTTGCTTGTTAACTCTTATTTCTAGAGAAAACAGTGGCTTCAAGTGAGGCATAAAAATAATTTATCCATTTTAATCTTTAGGTACAAGCTTTCCGATCATTTTTCTATCTTATGTAGGTATAAATTTGCAAGGGATAACCTTTTTTTTTTATTACATAACGGGATTTTCCCATGTTAAGGTTCACAAATTCATTAATTAGAATAATGGCTTTTTAAATCCTTCTTGAGCTGACCTTTTTTTTCTTTTTTCTTTTTTTCCCACCCCACCTAACTCTGTTGAGCTGATCTTAATGTGGTTAGTCATTGAACCCATTTATTTGACATATGTTAGAGTAAAACTTTTAATTTGTAATGTCAGTAGCTAAACTTTAAAGTAGAAGTGCCTTTCTAAGGCAAGTTAAAACTTTGTGTGGTGGTTGGATCCAAAAGATTTCTGCATGAATCCAACAAGCTTTACTGAGTTCCTATTATGTATAGAGTACTGTGTAAGCCATTGCAGGGGAAAAATGATTAATTAATTCATTTATCCATTCAACAAACATTTATTGAGATCTATTTTGTGCCTGATTATTAAGCCTTCAAAATACAGGTAAAACTTGATCTCTGCCTTGGAATTGCTCAAACTTTAGGAGGACACACTGATAGAGAAAAAAATAATTACAATGTTATAAGCACAATACCGTGTTTCCCCGAAAATAAGACAGGGTCTTACATTTATGTTTCCTCAAGAAGACACCCTAGGGCGGGCGCGGTGGCTCACACCTGTAATCCTGGCACTCTTGGAGGCCGAGGCGAGCGGATTGCTCGAGGTCAGAAGTTCAAAACCAGCCCGAACAAGAGCGAGACCCCGTCTCTACTATAAATAGAAAGAAATTAATTGGCCAACTAATATATGTAGAAAAAATTAGCCGGGCATGGCGGCACATGTCTGTAGTCCCAGCTACTTGGGAGGCTGAGGCAGCAGGATTGCTTGAGCCCAGGAGTTTGAGGTTGCTGTGAGCTAGGCTGATGCCATGGCACTCACTCTAGCCTGGGCAACAAAGCAAGACTCTGTCTCAAAAAAAAAAAAAAACCAACAAAAAAGAGAAAAATTTGCTAGGTATGATGGCTAATTTTTTAATTTGTATATGTTTACAAACAGGGTCTCGCTCTGTTGCCCAGGCTGGAGTGCAGTGGCCTGATCATAGCTCATTGTAACTTTGAATTCCTGGGCCCAAGTCATCCTATTGCCTCAGCCTCCTGAGGAGCTGGCAGCAGCTAATTTTTTTTTTTTTTTTTTAATAGTGATGAGTGTCTTGCTGTTGTTGCCCAGGCTGTTTTTGAACTTGGTCTCAAGTGATTCTCCTGCCTTAACCTCTCAAAGTGCTGGGATTACAGGCACAAGCCACTGCATCCAGCCATGAACTTCTAAGTGACTTACCCAAAGTCACATAGCTGCAATGTCCCAGATGTCCTGGTTTCCAATTAAGTGTTCCATGTATCCTACCACACTGCCAAATTATATTTAATAATAATTGCTATTATGTGGACTTATAGATGCTTTTGGCTAATTTTGGGAAACCAGTGTTGTCAGGAGGTTATTAATAGATGACAGGGTACAGACTGATTACTTGTTTACCTTGTATTGCACTTATACTTTCTACTGAGGATAAATGCATTCAGATAATTTATTCAAGTGCTTCCCATATTTGCTTCCTATATTTGGATTGGTATATTACTGTTGCGTTTTTCTGTGTCCAGTTACATTGTCAGGCCATGTTAATATTTATGTGTCTTAGAAAAAAGTGGAATTGTGATACATAATATTTTAAGGAAATACATGCAGATTTCCAAGGTGAGTCAGTGATGTAGTTTTCATTGACTTTATGGGACTTCTCCAGTTGGGTTAAAAACCGAAAGAACAGTTGATAATGTATAAAAACTGTGGTCTAAAAGCATTCTTTTAAAATATTTTTAAGAGACAGGGTCTCACTCTGTAGTCTTTTGCACAGGCTGGAGTGCAGTGCCCTGATCATAGTTCATTGTAACCTCCAATTCTCCCACTTCAGCTTTCCAAGTAGTTGGGACTATAGGTGCTCATCCCCATGCTTGGCTTTTGTTGTGGTTTTTAATTTGCATTCTTTTTAAAAATTATTTTTACAGCCGGGCGCGGTGGCTCACGCCTGTAATCCTAGCACTCTGGGAGGCTGAGGCGGGCGGATTGCTCGAGGTCAGGAGTTCGAAACCAGCCTGAGCAAGAGCAAGACCCCGTCTCTACTATAAATAGAAAGAAATTAATTGGCCAACTAATATATATATAAAATTAGCCGGGCATGGTGGTGCATGCCTGTAGTCCCAGCTACTCGGGAGGCTGAGGCAGGAGGATTGCTTGAGCCAGGAGTTTGAGGTTGCTGTGAGCTAGGCTGACGCCACGGCACTCACTCTAGCCTGGGCAACAAGCGAGACTCTGTCTCAAAAAAAAAAAAAAAAAAAAATTATTTTTACTAGGCCGGGCGAGGTGGCTCACACCTATAATCCTAGCACTCTGGAAGACCAAGGTGGGCGGATTGCTCAGGAGTTCAAAACCAGGCTGAGCAAGAGTGAGACCCTGTCTCTACTAAAAATAGAAATAAATTAATTGACCAACTAAAAATATATAGAAAAAATTAGCCAGGCATCGTGGCACATGCCTGTAGTCCCAGCTACTTGGGAGGCTGAGGCAGGAGGATTGCTTGAGCCCAGGAGTTTGAGGTTGCTGTGAGCTAGACTGATGCCAGGGCACTCACTCTAGCCTGGGCAACAAAGCGAGACTCTGTCTCAAAAAAAAAAAAAAAAAAATTAGTATTACTTATGAGGTTGAACAGCTTTTTATTTTATTTTTCATTTATTTTTTTAGAGACAGTCTCTGTCTTTCACCCAGGCTAGAGTGCAATGGCACGATCAAAGCTCACTGTAACCTTGAACTCTTAGACTCAAGAGACCCTCCCAAGTAGCTGAGACTACCGGTGTATGCCACCATGCCCAGCTAATTTTTTAATTTTTTGTAGAGATGGGGTCTTATTTGGGGTCAGCCTGGGGTTGCCCAGGCTGGTCTTGAACTCTTGGCCTCAAGTGTTCCTCCTGCCTCGGCCTCCCAAAGTACTAGGATTATAGGCATGAACTACTGTGCCCGGCCCATGATACAAATATTTGATGAAATAGAAGGCTTGCTATAATTTAGGGGGTCTGTTTGCTGCTGAACCATCAGTAACATGGATCTAATCAGGTCAGAAGTTAGGAGAGCTAGGTTAGGACCATCTAGAAGAACCTAGAAGAAATGCAGAATTAGGCCAGGCCTGGTGGCTCACACCTGTAATCCCAGCACTTTGGTAAACTGTGGTGGGAGGATCGCTTGAGGCCAGGGGTTGAAGACCAGCCTGGGCAACATAATGAGACGTAGTCTCTACAAAAAATAAATACCCCCTTCCCAGCCTCTGGTAACTATCATTTTGTTTTACTCTTTACCTCATGAGATCCACTTTTTTAGCTCCTGCATACGAATGAAAACATGCGATATTTGTCTTTTTGTGCCTGATTTATTTCATTTAACATAATGACCTCTGGTTCCATCCATGCTGCTGCAAATGACAGGATTTCATATGTACCACGTTTTCTTTATCCATTCATCTGTTCATGGACACTTAACGTTGATAGGATTGGCATTTTAACAAGATATCCAGGTGATTTGTATGCACCTGAAAGTCTAAGAAACAGTGATCTAATATGCAGTATCTAAAGGAGTGTGGTAACTTCAAGCCCAAAAAGTCTAATTTAGAAGTTGGAGCTAGTGCAGTATCTTGTACCTGTAATCCCATCTACCTGAAAGGCTGAGATGGGAGGATTGTTTGAGCCCCGGAATTCCAGACCAGCTTGGACAACATAGTGAGACTCTGTCTCTTAAAAAAAAAGTTGGGGTAAAGCAACAGAAGTTGAGATGATGGGAGCTATAGAAATTTAGGCAGGTACTAACATCATAGTTCTAGATGATTCACTTATTCACTGTAGGACCTGCTCAACAAGCTGGGAATACAAGGAACATCTTGCAGGAGAGAGGGCTGGCAATATCTTGGAGATGTGAGTGGTCACCAGCCAAGAGTTTGTCATTCAGAGCAGGAGTGTTAGCTCCTGCAGGAATCTAGATTAGCTATGCTCTTCAGTATGAAGGCCACTAGCCATGTGTGGCTATTAAAATTAAACAAAGGTAAAAATTCAGTTCCTCAGTCTTACACACCACATTAAAATTGTGCAGTAGCCACATCTGGTTATTATATTGGACAACTCAGATATAGAACAATTCCATCAATGCAGAAAATTCTATTGAATAGCACGGGGAGAAATAGGCAGAGAGACCAAGACAGGATGTCTCCCTTAAAGGCTGTGTCAACATGGCCAAGTGTAGATGTAGGTAAAGATCTGTGAGTTACTGGTTACACATGTAACTCCACCTCATTACAGCAATCTGAAGGACATCAAGAGGAGATGAGGGCCGGGTGAGGTGGCTCAAGCCTGTAATCCTAGCACTCTGGGAGGCCGAGATGGGAGGATGGTTTGAGCTCAGGAGTTTGAGACCATCCTGAGCAAGAGCAAGACTCCATCTCTACTAAAAATAGAAAGAAAAAGTTCTGGGAGCAGTGAGTTTCAAAGTGATTTTCCAGATATCTTTAAAAGAAATTCCAGAGCATTGGGAAGAGTAGGAATGGTTGAGTATGCAGTTGGGAAAATAATATGAAGTTAAATAATATGAAAATAATATGAAATAATAATAAGAAGAAAATAATATGAAAGGAATATTTAGCTAATAGAAAAGCAATATTGTTCCTGGTAGAAATAATACTGGAAATGAATTCTAATGTCCAGGTTAATGTGGAGCCAGTCACAAATTTTATCATATCTTCACTAAAGTTTTAAATTTTATCAATATTAAAAATATAGAGACATTTTTGATGTTTAATAAGAATTAGTGGAAAAGTAGAATTTACTTTGAGGTTTTTAATCTTTTCCTCCCGGAGAGTACATCTATAGCAGTGGTCCTCAAACTTTTTAAACAGGGGGCCAGTTCACTGTCCCTCAGACCGTTGGAGGACCATTGGACATTGCGGCACACATTCCACACATGCGCACTGTGGGCCTGGGATGAGTCGGCTGCTAAGCAGGACAGGCAGCGGGCAAAAACATCCGGTGGGCCGGATAAATGTCCTCTGCGGGCCACATGTGGCCTGTGGGCCGTAGTTTGAGGATAGGCCTGATCTATAGAAAAGGCGATTCAAATTCTATTATATTTATGTTAGGTTTGGGAACAGTTCCACATAGTAAATTGGTGAATAATTTCTTGTTTTCTTTTATGTCTTATATCAGACACACACATAAATATTTATATATTCAGGAGATATGATTGTGGTATATACAAAAATGTTTTTAGTTCTGTATTACTCTTACTAGAATTTTTCTCATTTCTTTCAGTTTGGCAATATAAATATTCTCTGTAGACAAGTGGCTTTTAAGGAAAGCTATTACATCCATTACTTAGCTTTTTACAAATAGGAAATCTGGCCCTCTCATTGCTGCTATGAGGCTAATTAGCTTTTCCAAAGCCCATGTTTCAGTACTTTGGCACTTTGTGGTAGGAGTACCTTCCTGTATCAGGTTGAAAGCAAGAAACATCCTACAAAGCACATTTTTTCAAATAGCATTTGAGTTTTTAAATGAAAATAGAAGCTGAAGGTGAGACTGTATTGGACTCTTGCAAAATATATTTTTGTCAGTCTTATGACCTGTGTATAGGTTCATATTTTTCTAAGATGTGAAAGATAGGTTTCTAATATGAAGCTGTCAGAAGTCAGTGGCTTATTTACAATTCTTGGAAGAAAAATATTTTCTCCTGAGAAGTTTCTGAAGAAACATCTTTAGATAATGAAGTAGTTTCAAAATTCATTCACTGTGGAAACTTATTTGTGTGCTATTATCTTATTTCTGACCTGGGCTCAGCTTTTATTTCTCTGTGCAGATCCATTTCCTTTGGTGGTACAGCCTGTCTTGGATGGTGACCCCAGTCAGAGCTGTATAGTGCCAAAAGGTGATCCTCTTTTGCCATTTATTTCAGCCCCTTATTTATCTTTACTTGCAGTCATTGAAAACCAGAAGGGTATTTATGAACAACAGAGAATTCCATGTTTTCCTTCAGTATAGGAGGAGCCCCAGAGAGAGGTAATATCATTTTTGTCTTTTGTTGTTGTTGTTGTTGTTTTTCCATTCTTTTTTTTTTTTCTTGAAGTTCATTAGGATATATTTTAGTCTTGGGTTTTCATCTTCCTGGGACCCACCAGGTCTAAGGGAAAAGTCAAGCTTATTTCACAGACTTGAAATAAGAGACTTTGTATTATAATTACAATATTAAGCTATAGACCCCTCAGTGTTTGAGAGTATTTACTGACATCTAGAACACATATTTCTAGGGTCCATGCCTTTTTATATAAATTTTAGAATGAGGTTTTATATGTTTACTTTAGAAAGCCTTGCTGCAATTTTGATAGGCATTGCATTAAACCTACCGATCATTTTGGGAGAGAACTGACATTTTTTATTATGTGAATCTTCTAAACTATGAACAAGTCTATTTAGGTTTTCAGCTTATCAGCATTTTGTAATTTTCACCATACAGACCCTGTACATGTTTTGATAAGTGTGATACCTGAGTATTTAATTTTCTCTGGGGTCACTATAAATGATAATATATTTTTAATTTCACTTTCTTCATTGTTAGTATATAGAAATATGATTGATTTTTGTGTTTTGGTCTTGTATCCTGTGACGTTGTTGTTACTTCCAGGAGCTTTTTTATAAATTCTTTGGAATTTTTTGACATAGATAATTATGTCATTCACAAATAAGATGGTTTTATTTCTTCTTTTTCAATCTGTATGCCTTTTATTTTTCTTTTTTGCCCTACTGCAGTGTCTAGAACTTCCAATACTATGTTGAATAAGAGTGGTGAGGGTGGACATCCTTGCTTTGTTTCCAGTCTTAGGGGGAAAGCATTTAGTATTTCACCATTAAGTGTGATGTTAGCTGTAGATTTTTTTTTTTTTATATCATGTTATTCTGTTTTTTTTTTTTTTAGCTGTAGATGTTTTATTAGATACTCTTTATCAAGTTGTAACCACATACTTCTAAAAAGTCAGCTGAAATAGTATTTCTTCTGCAGTGCTCTTTCAGATTACCCCAAGCAGAGTTAGTATTTACCCTCCATGTTTCAACAGCATTCTGCTTACACTATCATTGACACGTTGATTTGTGTTCATTCGTCCTTCTCGTCCCTTTCCTAGACACACATACCTTCTAGGCTATGAGAACAGAGGCAGTTTTATTCATTTTTTATCAATAGCTTATTACAGTGTACCTGGCACATTGAATTTCTTGATTGAATGAAGGAATGAGTGAATGAATGAACCAACAAGTGAATGAGAGACTCTCTCTCATGGGACTTAAGATAGTTTTAGTGGCCAGGGCGTGGTGGCTCACACCTGTAATCCTAGCACTCTGGGAGGCCGAGGCAGGCGGATTGCTCAAGGTCAGGAGTTCCAAACCAGCCTGAGCAAGAGCGAGACCCGTCTCTATTATAAATAGAAAGAGATTAATTGGCCGACTAATCTATATAGAAAAAATTAGCCAGGCATGGTGGCACATGCCTGTCGTCCCAGCTACTCGGGAGGCTGAGGCAGGAGGATTGCTTGAGCCCAGGAGATTGAGGTTGCTGTGAGCTAGGCTGACGCCATGGCACTCACTCTAGCCTGGGCAACAAAGTGAGACTCTGTCTCAAAAAAATATATATATAGTTTTAGTGATAAGAGTGTGGGTTTTGAAGCCAATCGCAGCCCTTTCCATTTAGTACTACTCTGGGAAGTTGGGCAAATTGTTAAATATTTCTGAACCTCAGTTCCCTTATGTGTGAAATTAGGATAATAATAACAACCTGCCTGAATAAATTAAGTGAAGTAATAGATGTCAGTTCTTAGCACAGTAGCTATCATGTAATAGGCACACAGATTTTAGTTTTCTCTTTTCCCTTCATTGAACTGTTTTAAGTGTTAAGAGATAAGTGATTATAAAATTACTTTGTAAACTGTGTACAGTTATTTCAAATATTTGTTCGTGTTTGTGTTAAAAACAGTCAAACTAATTTTGATTATATTGGTTTAAGGGGGGAAAACAGGGAAATGATAAAGTGGAAAGTTTGAATAACTTGTTAGCAATACCATGTGCCAGGAACTCTGCTTAATGCTTTACATGCAGTAATCCATTTAATCCTTGCATCTCAATGAAGCACCTTTCTTCCTCTGAAGGATTATTTCTTAGTATTTTAATTATAGTTTTATTTCTACCCTTTCTGAATAAGCCTCAGGAATGGGGTTAATAAAAATTTAATGCAGACTTCAAATTTTGTGTAGAATATGACAGATAATTAACAACTATTTTTTTTCCAAGCTACTGTCCTTAGTATTTGGGGACTATGTTCTTTCTTTAGGCTAAGTCTTTTTTTTATCAAACCCTAGTGGTAGTATTTACTTTCTACCTCCAGTCTCTAGAAGTACATTAGCTGCCCCAAATATATTAGGTTCTTTGAGTATATGAAACTGATCAGTTAAGAGTAATGATTTGTTGCCTGTGATACAGTAGTTTTTTCTAACAAATATCACCAATAAAGCTTGAATTGATTTTTGATAGAGGAGAAAAGCAGCAGACTGTTTGCATTTTAATTTAGAGTGTTTCTTATTATCTTATATTGATCAGGCTAAGACCTGTATTTTTTGTTATTGTTGTTTTTTAGAGATGAGAGTCTTGCTGTGTTGCCCTGGCTGGACTTGAACTCTTTTTTTTTTTTCTTGAGACAGAGTCTCACTTTCTTGTCCAGGCTAGAGTGAGTGCCATGGCGTCAGCCTGGCTCACAGCAACCTCAATCTCCTGGGCTCACGGGATCCTACTCCCTCAGCCTCCTGAGTAGCTGGGACTACAGGCATGTGCCACCATGCCTGGCTAATTTTTTGTATATATCTATTTTTAGTTGGTAAGTTAATTTCTTTCTATTTTGATAGAGACGGGGTCTCGCTCAGGCTGGTTTCAAACTCCTGTCCTCTAGCGATCCGTCTGCCTTGGCCTCCCAGAGTGCTAGGATTACAGGCCTGAGCCACTGTGTCCCTTGGACTCAGGTGAACTTTCCACCTCAGCCTCCTGTGTAGCTGGGAATACAGGCATGTACCCATGTGCCTGGCTTTCTATTTTAATTAGTTCTTTGTTTTTTTTTAAATTGTGGTAAAATACATATAATGTAATATTTACCATTTTAGCCATTTTTAAGTGTACAGTTTAGTAGTGTTAAATACATTCACATTGTCATGCAACCTATTTCCAGAGCTTTTCATCTTGTAAAACTGAAATTCCAAGCCCATTAAATAACTCCCCTATCCTCCTTCCCCTGAAGTCCCTTGCAACCACCATCCTACTTTGTTTCAATGAACTTATTCTAGGTGCCTCATATAGATGGAATCCAAGTATCTGTACTTTTGTGACTGGTTTATGTCACTTAGCATAATGTCCTCAAGGTTTATCTACCTTGTAGCATGTGTCACAGTTTCCTTCCTTTTAAAGTTGGAATCAATTCTATGTATATGTGACATTTTGCTTATCCATTCTCTCAGGTTGCTTCTACCTGATGGCTGTTGTGAAGATTATTGCTATGAACATGTGGTACAGTTATCTCTTTGAGATAGTGCTTTCAGTTCTTTTGGATATGTAACCAGAGATGGAACTGCTTAATCATATGGTAATTCTATTTTTTCTTTTTGAGATGAAGTCTTCTGTGTCGCCTAGGCTGATGTTGAATACCTAGGCTCAAGCGATTTTCCTGCTTTAGCCTCCCGAGTAGCCAGGATCATAGGCACATGCCACTGCACCCAGCTTTATTTTAAATTTTCTGAGGAACTGCCATACTATTTTCTGTAGTGGCTACACCATTTTACATTCCCACCAACAGTGCTTGAAGGTTCCAATTTCAATACATCCTTGCCAGTACTTTGTTGTTTTGATAGTAGCCATCCTGATGGGTATAAGACAATATCTCATTGTGGTTTTGATTTTCATTCCCCTAATGATTAGTGATATTGAGGATCTTTTCATGTGTTCATTGGCCATTTGTATATTTTCTTTGGAAAAATGTTCAAGTCTTTTATCCATTTTTAAATCATGTTTTGTTGTTGAGTTGTAGGAGTTCTTTACATATTCTGGATATTAACCCTTATTAGATTAATGATTTGCAAATATTTTCTTCCATCTAATGGGTTGCCTTTTCTATTGATTGTGTCCTTTGATTCATAGAAGTTCTGTTTTTTTTTTTTTTTTTTTTTTGAGGCAGAGTCTGACTCTGTTGCCCTGGCTAGAGTGCCATGGTGTCACCCTAGCTCACAGCAACCTCAAACTCCTGGGCTCAAGCAATCCTTCTGCCTCAGCCTCCTGAGTAGCTGGGACTATAGGCATGTGCCACCATGCCTGGCTAATTTTTTCTATGTATTTTTAGTTGTCCAATTAATTTCTTTCTATTTTTAGTAGAGATGGAGTCTCACTCTTGCTCAGGCTGGTTTTGAAGTCCTGACCTTGAGCCATCCACCCGCCTCGGCCTCCCAGTGTGGTAGGATTACAGGCGTGAGCCACTGTGCCTGGCCTAGAAGTTCTGTTTTTTAAAAAAATTATTACATATTATTTAAGGCATTTAAAAAGAAAAATAGAAGAAGCATCCTTGTAACCACCATCTAGAACATTACTAAATTAGTTGGCCCTTGGGTTTTGCCTTATTGATCACAAGTCTCTTACCATTCCTCAAAGGTAACCACTAATGAATTTGATGTTTCTCTGACTAGTTTATACTCCTTAGACAGCCTGGTAGTGTTTTAGTAGGTAATCATGGCCAAAGTAAAAATAGTGCAGAGGTCCTCTGGAGAAGGCTAAGGTAGAACAGATTCTTTCTTTTTTTGTGGTGTTGTTCAGAGCCCAGTTCAGTGCCCTGTCAGAGTACATAAAAAGTGCACAGAAATACTTGTTTTTATTTATTTATTTATTTTTTATTTCGGCATATTATGGGGGTACAAATGTTAAGGTTTCAAAAACCTTCCCCCCCTAGAAATACTTGTTGAATGACTATTTGGTACCCATGTACTTTTTTTTTTTTGAGATGGAGTCTTGCTCTGTCATCTGGGCTAGGGTGCCATGGTGTCAGCGTAGCTCACAGCAACCTCAAACTCCTGGGCTCAAGCAATTCTCCTGTCTCTGCCTCTCAAGTAGCTGGGACTACAGGTGTGTACCACCATGCCCGGCTAATTTTTCTATTTTTAGTAGAGACAGGGTCTTGCTCTTGCTTAGGCTGGTCTCAAACTCCTGAGCTCAAGCGATCTTCCCGCCTAGGCCTCCCAGAGTGCTAGGATTATAGGTGTTAACCACTGGGCCCAGCCGCTCATGTATTTTTTTTTCTTGAGACAGAGTCTCGCTCTGTTGCCTGGGCTAGAGTGCCGTGGTGTCAGCCTTCCGTCTCAGCCTCCTGAGTAGCTGGGACTACAGGCATGTGGTGCCATGCCCGGCTAATTTTTTCTATATATTTTTAGTTGTCCAGCTAATTTCTTTCTAATTTTTTTTTTTTTTTTTTTAGTAGAGATGGGGTCTCGCTCTTGCTCAGGCTGGTCTTGAATTCCTGAGCTCAAACAATCTGCCCTCCTCAGCCTCCCAGAATGTCAGGATTACAGGCGTGAGCCACCACGCCCAGCCCTCATGTACTTTTGATTGAAGATATTTAGTACCATTGTTATATTATTTTGAAGTGAAATGAAGTCTACATATCTTTGGGTTAGGATTATTGTGTGCTTTATCAATAAATAGACAGCTATGGCAAAGTAAATGTTTTCTTGGTGGTAGTATAACTGAGAGGTAAACCTGAATTTGGAATAGTTAGCCTTAACTGCATGTAGCACATTTAGCTACCTTGGCTAATTCAGACATGTAGACAGGGCAAATGGAATAGAGAGATGTTGAGGCACTGCATTCGGTTCAGGAAAATGGGTTGTAAGTTATGAAAGAAGGGGTGATTCTGGTAAGGTCTGACTGTGGGCAAGGGACTATTGATAAAAACAGTGCCATGTTTCCAGGGTAGTGGTGAAGGACCTGTCCTCCATTATAGCTGAAAATGAAGTCCTTCTGTATCGAGGCCATAATAGCAGCAGCAGCAGCAGCTGCTGCTGCTGCTGCTGCTGCCACTGACGTCTGAATTCGGTGGCCATGTGAAGTGTCTAGAGCAGGAAATGATTCCATGGCACTAGGCATATATAAGGAAGGACTTGTTTTGGCTCTGGCTAAGTGGTTGTACAGGTTGTGGGTGTCACTTTAAACATACAAGGATCTGCTTGCTGTAGGAGGAGCAGCTTCTTGAGGATCAGGTGCGTGTCTGAAGGGATGAGCTCATCCTTCTAACCAGACCTGCCCTAGACGCTGACTGAATGTTTTCCTAATTGCAAGTCCTGCAGCTGGGAGAAGCAGGAAATGATTGAAGCTTCGTGCACTTTGTGAGTAGCAAGGAAAAAAAAACATTTTGGGGAGTTTTTTGAAACATGTGGCTCTAAATATCAGGTTGAAGGTCACACTCACACACTCTCTTAGTCTCTAAGCTGAGGATTGCAGTAAAGTATATAGTAGATTGAGGAAAGCTTTGGTGGTTCTAACTTTATGCTAGTGCTTCTATTTGAGCTGAGTTTTCATGACTTAATAAATTTGTTTTCTATATTGATTTAATTGCTTTCGAAAATAAGAATCCTTTGGCTCTTTTTTCTTTCTTTTTTTTTTTTTTGAGACAGAGTCTCACTCTGTTGCACAGGCTAGAGTAAGTGCTGTGGCGTCAGCCTAGCTCCCAGCCATCTCAAACTCCTGGACTCAAGCAATCCTACTGCCTCAGCCTCCTGAGTAGCTGGGACTACAGGCATGTCCACCATGCCTGGCTAATTTTATATATATATATTTATATATTTTATATATATAATTATATATATATTTATATATATATATATTTTTTTAGTTGTCCAGCTAATTTCTTTCAATTATTTAGTAGAGACTGAGTCTCACTCTTGCTCAGGCTGGTCTCGAACTCCCGAGCTCATACAATTCACTTGCCTCGGCCTCCCAGAGTGCTAGGATTACTGGTGTGAGCCAGGTCTCCTGGCCCTCATTTTTCATTTTCAAGGATCTTGATCTTTTTTTTTTTTCGTTCAATGATAGTTTATTGGTCCGTAGCATTAACATCTTAATTACCAAGGTAAATTCACATACACAACTGCAGGTAAAAACATGTAAAATAATATAAAAATAATTTGAAGGCTACTTTTATATATTTACTGAATTAAGTAGTGTAATAAATACTATAATAAGCAATACTGCTAGAGTGCAGTATCATAGCTCATTGCAACCTCAAACTCCTGGGCTTAAGCGATCTTCCTGCCTCAGCCTCCTGAGTAGCTGAGACTATAGGCATATACCAGGATGCCTGGCTAATTTTTTCTATTTTTAGTAGAGATGGGTCTCACTCTTGCTCAGGCTGGACTTCAACTCCTGACCTCAAGTGATCCTCCTGCCTCAGCCTCCCAGAGTGCTAGGATTATAGATGTAAGCCACCGTGCTGGGCCATGATACAAATATTGAACCTAGGCACCATAATGTACAATGATTATAATTAATTTTTTGTATAACTTTTTATTATCCTATGATGTAGTAACTTTCTTGCTTTTTTTCATTTGTCTAGTTTTAAAACTTTCTTTTTCTTTTTTAGACTACCGACACAAAAGCCAAAGTTTTAAAACTTTCAATCACTAAATCATTCCTAGAATCCTAGCTAGAACCATTAAACTCTGCTCCATTCATGTAAAACCAGTAGACAACCTGCCAGTCCTTTTTTTTTCCTTTGAGACTTCCCTTGTATAATCTTCTTCATCCTGCTTTAATATGGGTTGGTTGTTACTTAGGCCTGCTTTGCAGCTGTTACCCTGGGAATTCTGTTTCCTGAATTATATGTAATCTTTCTTGGTTTATTTCCTCATTTTGATGAAGCACATCTTCCAGAAGCCTTTTGAGAGCTAAACGTTTATGAGAGTTAACATTTTTTTTTTTTTGAGACAGAGTCTCGCTTTGTTGCACAGGCTAGAGTGAGTGCCACAGCATCAGCCTAGCTCACAGCAACCTCAAACTCCTGGGCTCAAGCAATCCTCCTTCCTCAGCCTCCTGAGTAGCTGGGACTACAGGCATGCACCATCATGCCCGGCTAATTTTTTTCTATATATATTAGTTAGCCAATTAATTTCTTTCTATTTATAGTAGAGACGGGGTCTCGCTCTTGCTCAGGCTGGTTTCGAACTCCTGACCTTGAAGCAACCACCCACCTCGGCCTCCCAGAGTGCTAGGATTACAGGCGTGAGCGGCCGCTCCTGGCCGAGAGTTAACATTTTTGAAACCTTGTATATATGAAAATATTTTCATTTTATCCTCAAATAATACTTGGGAATAGAATTCTATGTTGGAAATAATTTTCTTTTATAATTTTAAAACGCATTGCTGGCCGGGCGCAGTGGCTCACGCCTGTAATCCTAGCATCTGGAGCCGAGGTGGTGGATTGCTCAAGGTCAGGAGTTCGAAACCAGCCTGAGCAAGAGCGAGACCCCGTCTCTACTATAAATAGAAAGAAATTAATTGGCCAACTAATATATATATAGAAAACACTAGCCGGGCATGGTGGCGTATGCT